TTGGAAACAAAACAGCATGGCTTTCAGGACGCCTTCTAAATCCGGTCTGCGGATGGTCCGGGAATAAACGTGTTTTTACATGAGTAGAATGTGTCCTTTTTATTTAAAATGCACCTCTGGGTTATTTGTGGGGCATAGGAATTCGTTCATTATAACTTTTTAAAAAATATAGTCCAGCCCCCCACAAGATTTGAGGGACAGTAGACCGGGCCCCCCGCTGAAAAAATTTGCTGACCCTTGTCTAGTGCTACTCTCCAAAATGAACACTCAGAGGCAGGGAGCAGAACCACTGTAACACAATGTCCACAATATAAACCAACAGTGCCAGTCCAGGAGGTCACAATGGTATCAAAAAGCCACAGAGAAATTGAGAAAAAAGAGAGAGAGAGAGCAAGATCACACTCCCCTTGTCCCACTGTCAATAAAGGTCATCCATCAGGGCGATCAATTTGTTCCCATGGCTAAGTCTGAATCCTGATTTGAATGTGTCTGTACGGTCGTACCTTGGAAGTTGAACGGAATTCGTTCCGGAAGTCTGTTTGACTTCCAAAATGTTCAAAAAACAAAAAGAGACGGTGGAAGAAGAATGGAGAAAATTTAAAAGTTATCTTAAGGACTACTATAAACTTAATGAATGCTAAAATGTTGCGGTTTCTAGAAATAAAGGGATACAGGGATATAAGGTTAGAAATTTAAAAAAGGGCTAAGAAGATAGAGATTGGAAAATAACAATTGGGAGTTGCTAGTTGAACTTTGGACACTGGGATGCAGAGAGGGGGGGTATGGGGAAGTCAAAGGAAAGAAGTTTATGAAAATATGTTTGAAACTATACGTGTATGTTTGTCATTTTTGGTGTTTGTTTGTTTTTTGTTTAAAAAGTTTCTAAAACCAATAAAAATTTTATAAAAAAAAAACAAAAAACAAAATGTTCAAAAAACAAAGCACTGCTTGTGATTGGCTGTAGAAAGCTCCTGCAACCAATTGGAAGCCGTGGAAACCCCATCAGACGTTTGGCTCCCAGAAATAGTTCGCAAACTGTAACAGTCACTTCTGGGTTTGCAGCGTTTGGGAGCCAAAACATTCGAGAACTAAGCTGTTCAAAAACCAAGGTAAGACTGTATTATCCATGAATGCCTGAACTTGTTCCACCATAACCATCCACCACCTTCCCTAAATAAGTAACTAGAAGTTATCGCATCTGGATCTGAAGGGAGGAGAGAAAGAAAACCCTGGATGTCAGCACCTCAGACGTGTGACAATCGCTCTCCTGGATTTGGCAATTAGATTAAACGGCGGTCTTTGGAGCAAGCATAGAGAACTGGATCAGGTCAGTGGGCTGGAACCAGATCTTCTGCAAACCCCATGAGCCTTTTTGACAGGAGAATGAAGCTGCCCACCTGACAGTCACCTGATGTCGCCATTATTTCAGGTGAAGCATTCCTGTTTGCTGAGACTCTGTCTGCCGCACAGTTTGATTTCAAACTGTGTGGGCAGTTTGCTAGGCACAGACAATTAGCTGACCTTGAAAAGCCTGCAAGCCCTGCTTTCGGCAAAGATCTTTATCTTTGCCTTCCCTGCACCTGATATCTTGTATGATGTCAGGTGGGGGACAGGTGGCCATGGCCTGGGGATAACAGCCTTGCAGGCTAAATTAGGATCCCCATCAGGCCTAACTAGAGTACAGGGTGTGCAAAGTTTAAGCTCAAATTTCTGCTTAATTTGAAATTCACTGGGTGGCCTTTGATAATCAACATGGCATATCTTCCTGCGCAAAGGAGGCCACTGGGAGAAAGGTGTGCTACAAAAGTCCTGATGGATTCATTTGTTCCTTAACATCTGCAAAAGTAGAAGGCTTCCTCTCTGGAAATACAGTCAAACCTCAGTTGTTGAACATAATCCATTCTGGAAGCCTGTTTGGCTTCCGAAATGTTCAAAAACTGAGGTGCAGCTTCCGATTGGTTGCAAGAGTTTCCTGCACTCAAGCAGAAACCGCATTGGACATTCAGCTTCCAAAAAACATTCAAAAACCAGTGCACTTACTTCCAGGTTTTCAGCATTTGGGAGCCAAAACGTTCCAAAACTGAGGTGTTTGAGATCTGAGGTTTGACTGTATTTCACATGAAAGGGTAGCATGCAAACTAAATGGAAGTAAATAATAACAATAAAATCAAGTAGCTAGTTCTGAGGACCAGGTGGCCTGAAACCAGACTATTTCTTTAGTCAGTTGTGTACCTGAACCACAATAAAATGCCCCCCAAAGCAAACTCAAAGTCACAAACTGCCATCTTCAAAGCCACAAATCAAAGCTAGTATTTTCCCCCCCAAAGGGGGCTGTCAAATTTACTTGCTGCACACATGTGCTGAGAATTCAGACACAGCTTTGCCATTTGTAAATATCAGGTGCTCAAATCTGTCCTTGCCTCTGAACAAACACCAGCAACAAGCCAATGCAACAGGTAATCTGAACCGGTACCTGAAGGTCTGGTTTCAGTAGCAGCCTGTGGAGCTGCCCTCCCAACCCTGGCATCAGTACAGCTTATCCAAGGTTGAGACAGGGAGTGGGAAAACAGCTGTGGAATCAGGACCGCATGCACACATCATCACGAGGTGCTGAGGTGCCCAGGCAGTCACAATCTCACTGCCACCCTGTGATGCCCCGGCCCCTGGTAAACTGCAGCTTCAATACCAGTGTCAGAAGAAAAGTTCCATGCCACCTCATGGTCTGCTATAGTCTCTTTTCATCATATTCCATCCACCGCTAGCTAGTCATTATCATTAAAAAAAAGGTGTATCGCGATAGTAAATGACGACATAGCAAATCCCGAGAGAAGCACAAAGGCACCACAGTTCCAGGCCTGCGATCCATTCGCCATCTACCAAAAGCTCCTTAAGGCTTCCACAGCCAGTGCTGGATTTATATATAAGGCAGTGGCGTAGCGTGGGTTGTCAGCACCCAGGGCAAGGCAAGTAATTTGTGCCCCCTAACCCGTGGATTTGTGCCCCCTAACCCATGGATTTGCGCCCCCTAACCCGTGGATTTGCGCCCCTAACCTGTGGATTTGCCCTAACCCCAGATGTTGCACCCGGTGCGGCTGGCCCCCCCTGCACCACCCACGCTACGCCACTGATATAAGGTAAACAAGGTATAGCTTAGGGCCCCACTCTCTTGAGGGCCCCAAAAAAGTTAAAGGGAAAAACCCTGGATGTACATTTGCAAAATATAAGATAAAAAACAAATAAAATAAAACCTACAAACAGCAACAGTGTTTTGTGTTGTGTAGGCTCCTATGATGTAAGTCATGTGCCCCGCCTGCTAGCCTGCTCCCTAAAATATTACTGGTTTGCTCATTTCTATATACAGGGTGCCTACATTCTGCATGGACTGGTTGCATGGCAACATGTGCAAATGGCTTTAGATACCTATTAGGTCCATAAATGACCATATAGCATATATTCAACATAAAAAACAGCAGCAATTTGTTGTTGACAAAGGACAGCTGGACATATAAAGGGCCCCATTACCTTCAGTAGCTATGGGGCTCATCAAACCTAAATTTGGCCCTGCCCACAATAAACAGAGAAGCTTAATTCATGTACCACAACAAGCTATAAATGAAATCCCACCATCCTAAGCATAATAACTGGCCTGCTAGATCAGACCAAAGGTCCTTTTAGCCCAGCATCCTACTAATTTTAATTTTAATCAACTTGTTTTTATTATTGGTTGTTAGCCGCCCTGAGCCCAGTCTTGGCTGGGGAGGGCGGGGTATAAATTATTATTATTATTATTATTATTATTATTATTATTATTATTATTATTATTCAGATGCCTCTGTGAAGCCCACAAACAGGGCTGGGTGACTATAATGTTCTCTGCTGCTGCTTCCTATTAACTTGTTTATAGGGGGGTGCTTCCACTGGTCTGGAGGAGCAGTCAGCAAGGAGGGCACAGCTGCACACTCAAGCCCTCCTGGCAGATGAGTTCCTGCCATTTGCCAAGGAGGATCAGGGGAGGGATGAGGGCCACACAGTGCCAACCTTTCCACTGCATCACCCATCTTCCTCCTCGTAAGTGGCAGTACCAGGAAGCCACCCACCACCACTACTGAGTGCTCCTGAGATTCCATATGGCCCTTCTTCCTAGCCATTGAAAAATCCCCATGGATTTCTCTAATCCCAGTTTAAAGCCAGCTAACCGGGTGCCCATTGCCACTTTTCATGGCAGCAAATTCCAATAATAATAATAATAATAATAATAATACCCCACCCATCTGGTTGGGTTTCCCAAGCCACTCTGTGCGGCTCCCAACAGAATATTAAAAACACGATAAACCATCAAACATTAAAAACTTCCCTGAATAGGGCTGCCTTCAGATGTCTTCTAAAAGTCAGATAGTTGTTTATTTCCTTGACATCTTATGGGAGGGCACTCTACAGGGCAGGCACCACTACTAAGAAGGCCCTCTGCCTGGTTCCCTGTAACCTCACTTCTTGCAGTGAGGGAACCGCCAGAAGGCCCTCAGTGCTGGACCTCAGTGTCCGGGCTGAACGATGGGGGTGGAGATGCTCCTTCAGGTATACTGGGACGAGGCTGTTTAGGGCTTTAAAGGTCAGCACCTACTATGCCAAACATATTTACCTCCTTCATAGGATTTGGGTCTCCAGGCCTCTTTTTCCACAGCTGCTGCCTTATGGCGTTGACGTTTTTACCGAGCTATCTGCCACAATTTCAGGTTAAGTCTCTGCCACTTCTGACTCTCATCACTGTACATGGAGTTCTGGAGTTCTGTTTGCCCCAATGTACCTCACTTTACGCTATCCCACTCGCCATTTGGTTGACCATCAACTCAGTTTGAATGGAACCAGTTGGAGCTCTTCAAAAGCTGCTTGGGTTTTTTTTTATCATTATCATCATCATACTGTGGCTTATCGTGATGTCTGAGTCAAACCAAAGCCAGGATCTCTCCCTCTCCCCGCCCCCCACCACCATATTGTCTTACCTGTGATTTTGTCTCTAACCAGCTTGCACGATTCAATCTCTCCAATACTTCCAAAGAGGCTCTTGAATTCTTCCTGTGTCATGTTCTGGGGTAGGTAGTTGACTATGAGGTTAGTTTTGGAGTCATCAGTGGCGCCGTTGGCACTAATCAGTGGCCCATTGGGGAGGGAACTGTTGCTTGTGGGACCATTGGACACTTGGGTCTCCATTGTGCTGATTATCTGCTGAAAACAAGAGGGAGTGGGGGGAGGGGGTTACTGTTATGAAGGAACTGAAAGCAGAACCCAACAATCTGCGTCAGGCTTGGGTGTTTCTGCTTGCAACTTCAGGGATGTCGGGATGGGAAGGGTCTGGCTGGCCATAGGTTTGTCTGGATGGATCAGGGTTCCTGTTCTGAACCATCCAGAAGTTCCTTTGACAAGCTTTGTTTTGTTGGAGAGGCATTTTGCCTGCTGGCTACTCAGGTACCACTTATCCCACTGAGCCAAGATGTAGGGGATGAATACATGTGAGATGCAGCACACAAAAGGCATTCGACAACTATTTATTACTGAATTTGCACTTATTTTTATTTATAGCCCATTCCATGTCAAGGGCCCAGGACAGGAGACAATACATTCAAATCACAACACACACACACACCCAAATTACACAGGTTAAATGGCATACAGTGGTGCCTTGCAAGACGAAATTAATCCGTTCCGCGAGTCTCTTCGTCTTGCGGTTTTTCGTCTTGCGAAGCACGGCTATTAGCGGCTTAGCGGCTTTAAGAAAAAGGAAACAAACTCGCAAGAACTCGCAAGACGTTTCGTCTTGCGAAGCAAGCCCATAGGGAAATTCGTCTTGTGGAACGACTCAAAAAACGGAAAACCCTTTCGTCTAGCGAGTTTTTTGTCTTGCGAGGCATTCGTCTTGCGGGGCACCACTGTATTCCCTGGTCATCAAAAGCCCATTTAAACAAACAAATGAAGCAGTATTGTTTTTCAAAGCAAAGTTGCCAGGGAATGCTGGAGTTGAGGACAGACATGGAGAACACCTCTCCCCCATTAATAAATGCACCAGCCATGAAGAAATGTCAGGTCAGATGAGCCACATGTTTGCTTCCTTACACACACAACCGAGGTTACCAACCCTGCTATAACCCTGTGGGATCTGGAACACCAAGTAATACAGTCCTGAAAGACATTTTCAACACAGAGGTGGAACCGCAAATGTATGAAGTGATGATCTAAAAGTGTGGGGCAGAGAGCCTTTGAGCATGTGCAACAGATCCACAGGCACACAAAATATGCGGAGGGGATTCTACTGATCCCTAAAAGTTCCTGGGATGAGTGTGTGGAATACAGGCAAGAAGAAAAACCTGCCCATTGGTCATTTGTATATGCTGATCCACATGAAGGAGGAGAATTTCAAAATATCCCAAAGTACCTCTGACTGGCAGAGAGGGGGGGGGGATAGTACTGCACCTGAATGTCCTGAACGTCCGCACTGTCAGCCACAGTTCCCCATCCATCCACAGATATATCCCACATAGGGGCGCTGTGGTCTAAACCACTGAGCCTTTTGGGCTTGCGGATCAGAAAGTCGGCAGTTCGAATTCGCACAATGGGGGGGAGCTCCTGTTGCTCTGTCCCACCTCCTGCCAACCTAGCAATTGAAAAGCACACCAGTGCAAATAAATAAATAGGTACCGCTGTGGCGGGAAGGTAAACGGCGTTTCCGTGCGCTCTGGCACTCATCACAGTGTACCATTGTACCAGAAGTGGTTTAGTCATGCTGGCCGCATGACCTGGAAAGCTGTCTGTGGACAAACACCAGCTCCCTCGGTCTGAAAAATGAGATGAGCACCACAACCCCCTAGTCACCGTTGACTGGACTTAATCATCCAGGGGTCCTTTACCTTTTATGTCCCACATGTATAGATATATATGTTCCCCATCTTTCAGAATATTCTTTATTGATTTTCATTTGTACACTCCACATACCCACATTGTATTACATTTCACATTTACACCTGCTCCCACATCTAACTTTTTCGCATTGTCTTCATCCTTTTTGCATATTATTGTTCTTCTTTTGTATTTGTCCATAGGGTGTCTATAGTCAAATAAATCCTCCTGTATATACAATTCGTATTGTCTGTCTATATTCATTTACAACTACCATTGGTTACATTAAGTCACCCTGTACATTTTACTTTTTATTATTTTCTTTATCCAGAAATTTTATTTGTATTTCACATTATGAGGTTTATGTTCCCCATCGCTGCAGTCAGAAGTCGCATAGTCTTTGGCAACTTCATATGGTTCAGATCACCATTTTTTCTTTTGCATCAATGAATCCATTAAAATATACAGTACACCAATTCAACAACAGTCTGTTGCCTAGAGTTGAGAGCATGATGGGAAAATCAGTTGCATCTGCAGAACAATCCAGGCATTCTACAGGTGCCTCCCTCCAGCAATAGTGGCACAATTCAGTTTCCCCCTCCCACATTTGTCCTGATTTCCACAAAGCCTCTGTGCCCGGGCTCAGTTCCCTTTTGCCTTCCAGCAGACTTCTGTTCTGCTAGCAGTGCAATGGCTCCCTGTTAAAACTATTGATCAGGCCATCGATTCTGCTATTATCTCCAGCTTCAGGCCAGGATAGCATAGCATCAAAGGAAAATGCTTCGCTGCCTGCAGGACCTGTCATTAATTCTGCTTCCAAAGACAATCAATGACATGCAATCTCACTATCAATACATATTCCCCCCAATGGCTTTGAGAACTCAGCATCAAAAATCCAAAAATAAGAGAGGGAAAGGACTCAGGCTTCCAGACTGCACTCCACCATGCTTGCACCATCATTTTTGACATCTTGAAATCAATACTAGATGGGTTTCTCAGAGTGTATGCTGAGTCTTGAATGCTCTGACAAATGCATCTGTAATTTCACCACATCTTGGTTCAAGCTACCTTAGGTTATATGGTGAGAGACACACTGAGACTTTCATCCTGGGCCAATGGCCTTTAATATGCTCAAAAGCACTGCATGAATAGGGCCTTTGCTACATGAACTGGGGCTCCTTGGGATTTCAATATCTGAATCAATTCCATGTTGTTCTATTTTTGGTCGGACACTTTGGCCTCTCCAGACTGGGCTTTGTATTGTGGGTTCTTGGCTCAGGTCTCATCTCCCTCTTTGCGAAGCGAGTGGGTTTATGCCCTTTGCCCGAGTTTTTTTATCCTAGGTACATAAAGCTGTCACGGCCAAGTGCTTTCTTTCAAAATGGCTCCACATCATCACACAGCCTGCAGTCGCTCTCCCTAGTTCTGTGTAGCAGCAAACAATTTGCTGACCAGCCTCCACCAATGATTCTGCGCAAAACATGCAGCATGAAAGCCAGGCACCATAGAAGCAGCCGGCTTCCTTGCCTCAGTTTTCAACTCAACCCAACCCTACCCCTAAAGTATCACCAGCAGAAAGGGAAGAAAGCAGCACTGTCACGATGCTGCAAACAGAGCAGACATTACACAGTATTTAAAAAGGATATGATACCTGCTCAGGGCCAATGTGCATGTTCTGCCAGTGAGCATCACCAACAGGAAGCGGAAGCTACTCAAAGCTCCACATTAGGAGTGTGATAGCTCTGAAACGCTATTCATGGCATTTTGAGGTGGCCCCCTCAAAATGTAATTTGTGAAGCAGCCCCAAAATATAGAAACACACAGATATGAAAGAGACTTAAATGAGTAGCAGGCAGTAGAGATTGATAGTTGTTGTGTGTTTCTGTTGTCTTGTTAATAAGGCCTCAGTATGCTTCAGAGGTCCTGCCAACCTAGCAGTTTGAAAGCACCCCCGGGTGCAAGTAGATAAATAGGGACCGCTTACTAGCAGGAAGGTAAACGGCGTTTCCGTGTGCTGCGCTGGCTCGCCAGAGCAGCTTGTCACGCTGGCCACGTGACCCGGAAGTGTCTCTGGACAGCGCTGGCTCCCGGCCTCTAGAGTGAGATGAGCGCACAACCCTAGAGTCTGGCAAGACTGGCCCGTACGGGCAGGGGTACCTTTACCTTTACCTTTATGCTTCAGAGGAAGCAATTCATATATGAAGAAAGGTAATGATAATATTTTTTATTTTAAAAACCCAGGGAAACTGAAGAAAAATGGGGCACCCATTTTATCATCATCATCATCATCACCTTTCCCCCAGAACTGAGACTCAACATAGATTACCAAAAATTAAAACAGCATGAATAAGAACACAGAAAGCTAAAAACATGTACAGTGGTACCTCAGGTTACATATGCTTCAGGTTACATACGCTTCAGGTTACAGACTCCGCTAACCCAGAAATATTACCTCGGGTTAAGAACTTGGCTTCAGGATGAGAACAGAAATTGTGCAGCAGCAGCACAGCAGGCCCCATTAGCTAAAGTGGTGCTTCAGGTTAAGAACAGTTTCAGGTTAAGAACGGACCTCCGGAACGAATTAAGTTCTTAACCTGAGGTACCACTGGAAAAAGCAATAGCTAAAAAGTCATTAAGCCATAATGGAATTAAAACAAATCTATTAAACTGCAGATAGTAAAAGCAGCACAGCTCTTTCGTTAAACTGTCACTTCAAAATAAAACCATCTTCACTTGCAGATGGGAGGGAGCCAAGTGTAGCTTCTCTGGGAAGGGAATTCCAAAGTCAAAGAGCAGCCTCCAAGATGGCCGTCTTCCGTGAACATGCCTGTAAGGGTGGGTGGGACTGAGAGAAGGGCCTCCCCCAGACATCTCTGTGCCCGAGCAGGGAGAAAATGGTCCTTCAGATAGCCTGGGCCTAAGATACCTAGGGCTTCATAGGTCATAACCAGAATCTTATTCCAAAGTTTTGGGGTCACAAGAAGCAGCAGAAGACATTGTGGGGCAGCAATGTTCACTTGACCTCCAGTCTATAATATCACTGATGCTTACCAGGAGGCAGTGGTCAGGTCAGGTCAGGTCACTTCTGGGAGTTACCAATGCAAGGAGATGAACAGCATCCTTCAGGGTGCCAGATTTGCAGGATCACTACCCTACAGTGATTCCCAGACATATTGTGTTTAACCACCACTAGTTCTGCAACTCCATCCTTTATAATGCAGATTGACTTGTTAAAGTAACTTGTTTTCATCTTTGAAGTCAAGTAATGGGCTCCTTAAGGCTACAAGCCTAAAGGGCAATCCTGTGCAGGTTCCGTCTGCAGTAATGCCCAGTGT